ATGCCGTCGAGCACCAGCCCCAGCGTGCGGAGGACCCGCACCTCGCCTGTCCCCAGCCTCCGCGGCGGGCGAGCAACGATCAACACCGTGTTCAGGAACTGTGTGACGCACGGGGCCAGCGGGTCGGCCTCGCCTGCGGACAACTGCTGAGTGAACTGGCTGCGCAGGTGGCCAAGCCCATTCTCGAGGAGAGCGCCGGGCCGCTGTCGAGCGATCCTGCGGAACAAGTCGCGCTTGATGTTCACGCCCTGGTAGCAGTCGCGGCCCCCTAGGCGCTCCGTGTCGCTCTCCGCGCCGTCCTCCGCGTCGTCGTTGTCGCGCCCCAGGAGCGCCGCGGTCAAGGCCGATGCCAGCCTGCTCCTCGTCCCCGTGGCGCCTGTGCGCGCAGGGGCAGCAGCGGCGGCTCGGCCAGCAACCACCTGTGCCAGGCGCTCGCCTACGGCTCCTGCCGGGCGCGCAGCGCTCTTGGGCGTGCCCTGCCTCGGCACACCACGAGCTGCCCTGCCCCCTAGCCGCGCCAGCCGCGCCTCGAGCTCGGGGTCCACGGCGGTCTCCTCGAGCCCTGCGATCTCCTGGTCGAGTGGGCTCGCCTCTCCTGGACCGCCCGGGGTCTGGGCGCCCTCCGCCTCGCGGGCACGCTGGCGCGGAGGCCCGCGAGGCTCCTCCTCGTCCTCGTTGCCCCCATCCCCGAGCGGCCAGCCGCCGAGCTCTCCAGGCAATGGCTCGCCCGAGGGCGCGTCGGTCAGCACAGGCGCCCCAGGATCCGCTGCTGGGCAGATGAGCTTCGCCTGCTCGCGGGCCACGTCGCGGGGGTCCACAACCTGCCACACGTCCAAGTGCCCGACCACAGCGCCAACTGGAGCGACCGCCCCGCACTCGTTGGCGCTGCACTTGCAGAGGTGGAAGACCGTGGCCAGGGGGCGTGCGCCCCGCTGCCCGCAGGATGCTGCATACCATGAGAAGTGCGGGTCGCTGGCGCCCACATGCCGGGCCTTGAAGAATCTGCCGAAAGCGTCCGCCTGGTAGGCGACCTCTATCTCGAGCATCTCGACGCCTTGCGGCGCCCCGAAGTCGCCCTAGACCCGCGCCAGGACCCGTGCACCAGCCCCAAGCGGCAGCCCCGGCACCAGCTCGCCGTTCAGCGCCGCGTCGAGCCAGGCTCCTCTCGGGAAGGGCCACCCGCCGGCAGCCGGGGCTGCCCGCTCCATCGGGCTCCTCGCCAGCAGCAAAGCGGGAGAGGGGCGACCCGCGCCCGGGATCCTCGTCTCCCAGCCAGGTCTTCGCTCCCCTCAACCCGCCAAGGCTGCCAGCGAGGCTGATCAGAATCAGTCGCCCGAGCGTGGCCCAGCAGGCGGCCGCGCGCGGCGCGGCAGTCTTTCAGTAGACAGAGTGGCTCGGCAGTGGCCACAGACGGGCGGCACCGCCCGGTGACTCCGCTGCCTGTCTCTAACCAACACAGCTACGGAAGATGGATGAAACTCACCGTTATCCATCAACGGCGTCGCGCACGCTCAGGTGGACTCCGCATAGGTTTCCTTGGAAGGTTCATATATATATATATATATGAATATATACAGAGTTCTGTATATAGAAAGCGTCGGTGTATACACCGACGCTTTTTCCGACCCTGCGCCGGAATTCGCATAAGAACGCGGATCCTGGTGTATACGGGATCGGGGTGTATGTATGTATGTATATGTATATATATATGTATGTATGTATGTATGTATGTATGTATGTATGTATGTATGTATGTATGTATGTATGTATGTATGTATGTATGTATGTATGTATGTATGTATGTATGTGTGTTTTCGCGGTTTCCCTTGGAAAACGGGGGAACAGTATACACCACACCACCCCGACGTCGTCCCCGACCCTCAACAAGTCTTTGGATTGAAACAAAAACCCGCCCCTGGTAATGTCTATGCTCCAGTGTCCGAAAATATGCAAAAATCCTAGTGCTCCCAAGCTTTTTGCACACTGTCTAAATGGCGTCTTCCCTCCCCACTTCCCATGCTTTCCCATGTGTTCCGACGTTTACTAGTGCCTGTATCTATTTCTCCCGCCTGGGAGAGGCCGAGCGAGACCCTTGTAAAGTCCAGCATGTCGAAGCGTTCCAAGCGAAGCCCCAACTCTGAAGGGAGACCGCCCCAAGTAAGTCATCAGCCCGAGTGGAGCGTTGCAAGATCGCAAAGCGGAGCGTTGCAAGGTCGTCAGTCTGAGGGAAACCGCCTCAAGTCGGAATCGACGAAAGGGGCCCCCTTCCGCTTGATCCCTGCCCAGCCCCCGCCCTGGGGGGGGGGGTGCTCGGGAGGGTCCAAGCAGGAGATTGGCCCCCCCCCCCTTCCCCCCTGCCGAGCAAACGCCCAGGTGGGGTCCCCGAGGGGGTCCTGGGTCAGAATGCGATCCCCCCCTTCGCCTTTGGGGTAACCCTCGGGGCAGCCCGGTCCTCTTTCGGCAGCGCAGGCCCAAGACGTCCAAGCTGGCACCGAAACGGCCCAAGAGACCTCTCTCAGACGGCCCACGAGGGCCCCAGGCGACCCCCACGCGGGCCCCACCAAGCGCAAACATTGCGCTTGTTCAAAAAATCGCTGGATGCTTTTATCCGCTCGCCCGATCGGTCTTCCGACGCTCCAGGAGGCCCACACCGCCCCAAGACGGCTCACAGGGCCCCAAGGGAGGGTCCAAAGACGGCCCAAACTGGCCCTCGATTGGCCCAATTGGCCCAAGAGGGGGAGCACGAACTGATGCTTCGAGGCCTCGATGCCCACAAAAAACAACCACCAGCAGGCCCTCAAAAGGGTTCCAAGAGGCCCCCGGAAGGCCCCCAAGTGGTCCCCAAAAGGCCCCAAGGAGGCCCCAAGAGGACCTGCAACCCAATAGACCATTAACTGCATGCATTCCAAAAGCATCTGATCCACCACCCAGGTACGGTGGTGGGATGGACCGACCGCCATAGAGGTGGCACGGTGACCAGTGTGTCCGTCTCTGCTCCAGTCTCGAAGTGCTCTTCAAGACGATCTGGAATCATCGTCGGCATGCCTATGTGCGCTCCTCGGCTCCCTCGCGGCCTTCTCCGGCCTCCGGATCCCCAATCAGGGTTGGTGGAACCGGCCGAAAGGCCTCTCGATCAACTCCTTTCCGCGGTCGGGTGCGCCTGTCCCAGGGCGGCTGGAGCGCTTTACAGTGGAGGCCAGTCCACAAGAAACCTTCCACAAGAAACCCAACCCTGAGACCCCAGGACGTCCATGGATTTTTGGTGTGGGAACGTCACGCCTTACACAGCCAAACCACCGGAACCCAAGAAACCTATGGCACCCTGGAGGCAAGCAGAGTGTCTCTTGGCACGTGCCCCCACTGCAGGGGCATACACTTCCCCACTGCCCTGGGACAGGTGCCCCCGATGGCGAAACAGTTTCCCTCCTAGCGCCCTTCGTCGGCCAAGAGGCGGGCGGAGGAGGGGGGATGAGGAGAGATCATGTGAGTGTTAAGTCGGGCTTGTCCCTCTGCAGGAGGAAGACACAAAAACAGGAAGGAGAAAAAAAGTCCGGTGATGACTTGTCAAGCATTTGTGAAAAACATTTTGGGGTATGTTTTGACTATTGTTTGTTTTTTGTCCACAACCCCCCTGTAGGAGGACAGGCCCGACTTCATGTGGGTGGGAAGGGCGCCCCCCTCGCGGCGGGTTTGGGGATCCGCCGCCGCCGCGCCCGGCCCCGGCGGACGCCGGGCCTGAAAACGGGTCTGGCGCGGAGGCCGCGGATTGGGCGAGGGGGAAGGGGGGAAGGAGAAGGATCGAGAGGAGGAGGAGGAGGAGGAGGAGGAGGAGGAGGAGGAGGAGGAGGAGGAGGAGGAGGGTCGAGAGGAGGAGGATCGAGAGGAGGAGGATCGAGAAGGAGGAGGAGGAGGAGGAGGAGGCGGAGGAGGAGGAGAAGGAGGAGGAGGAAGAGGAGCCGTCGGCACTGAATGGAGTGTCCTCAGGTCCCTTCGAGTTCTCCGTGCTGCATCTAAGTGCTCAGGTCCCTGATTTCCGGGCGCTACCAGGGCGCTACCCGGGCAGCTGGCGCGATTGGGTGCACCTTTGTCGTGGAGGCCAGCTCAGATGTCAGAATCTGTGGACAAATTTGGGATTCGTTGTTTTCATACACGTGGCATGTTCGGCTCTTCGATCTTACGTCAGGGCGCCCAAGACGGCCAAGAGGCCCCCATGATCGCGTGCCGTCCCGCGCTACACGCAGCTTCATAGAGTCGGACCCTTCGCCAAGCTAACTGCATGTTTTTGGCTTACGACTGGCCTCCGAGGGGTCTTCTGGAGGCCTCCAGAGACCTCTGGAGCCCACTCTGGACCGCCTCCTCCTTCAAGACGAGAAGGAGAGAGAGAGAGGAAGGAAGAGGGAGGGAGGAGGGAGTGAGGGAGGGAGGGAGGAAAGAGGGAGGGAGGGAGGGAGAAGGAGGGAGGGAGGAAGAGGGAGGAAGAGAGAGAAGGGAAGGAGGGAGGGAGAAGGGAGGGAGGGAGGAAGGAGGAGGGAGGAAGGATGGAGGAAATAGGGAGGAAGGAGGGAGGGAGGAGGGAGGGAGGAAGGAGGGAGGATGTATTTGGCAAATGTTGGGAGGTCCTCGGGCCCTCTGGCAGATTTCCGGGGGGTAATGAGACTCCTGCTCCTGCTCCTCCTTCCCTCCCGCTCCTCCTCCTCCTCCTCCTCCTTCTCATCACGTTTTTCCTCTTCCTCGTACTCGCCGTCCTCTTATTCCTTCTCATCTCCCTTCTCATTCCCCCTCCTGCTTTTCACCTGCTCTCGCTCCTCATCTTCTTGCTGTTATTCTCGTATTCCTCCTGCTCCTGTTGCTTCCCCACAGTAGTCCCCTAATAGTCCCCAGACTACTTTTTGACTATTTTAGAATACTCCTCCTGTAGAGGGACAGGTCCGATTTAACCCTACATCATCCCCCCCATCCCCAGAAAAACGGTCGGCACGTCAGGCTGAAGTAAGCCAGACCTCATCTTGGGTCATGCTGACAGGCAACACCTTCTGGTACACGTTGAAAGTGCCGGTGTAGTCCGGAACGGTCCCCATCTGCAATCACACAGTCAAAAAGATCGTCAAGGTGAGATGGCGAATAGCAATCAGTGACCACCCTAACACATGTACGTACGCGGGCTCTCTTGGACGAGCACGAGCACCATCCGTCTGTACATGACGTCATTGAACAACTGCCAACTGAAAGCAGGAGCCCTGCACAGTGGTGCAAAATGAACGCGCTCTTCCAGTTCCTCGGAACCTGCAGATGGTTACACACGCAGGCCCTTAAAACGACGCGAAGATCGGGACAAAATCGGATCGGGAGAACTCGAAGTCTCTGAGGATCGGCGGCTTTGGAGGATGCATCGGGCGCCGCGGCCGCTCTGAGAGCGCTCCGGCGAACGCTCTGAGGGCGCTCCGGAACGCTCTGGAGCGATTTATCCCGTTCCCAGCCCTGTTTTAGCCCCGCTTGCCGAGGGCAGTGGCGGTGCCAGAAAGACAACAACCACGCAGGCCCTGCTTGCCGAGGGCAGTGGCGGTGCCAAGAAAGACAACGACCACAAGACAGCCGAGCGAGTTCGCGAGCGAGCGAGCGCGAGCGTGCGAGCACGCGCCGGCGGCCCGACGGAGCGGCCCCGCGAGGGGGCAGCGCGGGCGGGCCGGGTCCCAGAGGAGGGTCGGGTCGCCACGCTGGCAAGAGGAATGCCGAGTGATGGGGGCAGGAGCCAGATATTGGGCGTGGCTTCGTGGGGGGGTCATAAAAGGTCCCCTTTCGTGCCCCTTCCCGGCCCCTCTGGAGCCCCAGGGGGCTCGTTTAGGTACCGTTTGGGTACCTTTTCGGACCACCCTCGCCCACCCCCCCCCCCATTTATGACCCCCCCATTACGCTCCCCCCCAAGATAGATGTGAGCCGTGCAGCCGGGTCGCCAGACAACCAGACTTAACCAGGCAAGAACGCTCCGCGGATGACAGAACCAAGGCGGAGGTGCAACAAGGGAAACCGCGGGGTGGTTCCCGGGGCGGGTCGCGGGGCGCCGACGACGGCGGCACGAGTAATGAGAAGCGCTCGAAGAGTGAAGGGGAAAACAACAACAGCCTGCACCGCGGCGCCGCACGGCATCGGGCACAAACTGACGTGGCTCAGGGACGCGTGCATCTGGCGCGTGGGCGCCTGGTCCGTGGAGCAACCAATGATGGGAAGCGCAGACTTTGCACGAAAGCGGGACCCGTCACTAGTCCAGGCGCCTTAATCCAAGCTTATGGGTCCTCAACTTCAGCCATGAACCCAGGACAGTGCTGCCCCCCCCCCCACACTCTAAGACACAGTGTGAGAGAGAGAGGGAGAGCACACAAACATGCAGACAAAAACAAAAACTGCAGGGCGTTCGGGGGGAACGCAAATGCCAGTCGGAGAGCCCAAACCCGGCATACACTAACCTGGATCAGGGAAGCGCGGATCTGGCGCGTGGGCGCCAGATCCACGGATCGGGGAAGATACCCCCCACATATGGAGCTGGTGCCGCCTACGTACTTCGGCGACGGAGCGCGCAGACTCTGTACGGACCCCGGACCCGTCGCTAGTCCATGTGCCTTCATCAATTTCTGTGTTCTCTCTTGAAAAAAGGACGGAAGGCCTACGTAGTCCACCTCGCTGCTCGCTGGAAGGGAAGGGAAAACAAAAACCTGACTGAACAAGAACGGGAAGCGTCGTTTTTGTCCACTAGGTGTGTGAAATCTGCTCTTTTGTTGGTCTGCCGCGCAGATCTGTCGTGGCGTGCGTGCGTTTGCGCGTGCGCGTGCGTGCGTGGAACACGTGCATGTGTGCCCGTGCGTGGTGGTCTGCAGCACTGCTGTGCTATGCCGTGCTGCTCTGATGTGTTCCTGCGGTCTGCGTAAACGTATGTTCTGCCGTGCTCTCGCGCGTTCTGCCGTGCTTCTGCGTGTTGGGCTGCCGTGATCCTGCCAATGTTCTGAAGATGTCTCAGGCGAAAGGCTCAATTTTAACACGCATGGTCTTAAATCAGCCTTTGCAGCATCTCATGTGTTCGAGGATGTCTCAGGATATATCCCCATTTCCGCACGTATGTGTGTGTATATACAAAATCGCGGAGTTCATTGTTTGGTGGATGTCTCAGGCGAAATGCTTGTTTGTGTGAAAGACGGTTTTGCGAACACCTCATGCTGGTGAGGATGTCTCGAGCGAAATTCCAATTTTGAGGAATCTCGATGGCGTTATTGGGATCATTTTGGGCCTCGATTGGGGCTCGCTGAGCTGCCTCGACGCCATCAAAAACATGCCAACGCGATGTCACACACACACACACACATCTCTTGTTGAGGATGTCCCTCGCGAGATAGTCATTTTTAGAAGCCTGGCTTTTTCATAACCATCCTGTGGTGTTGGGTCCTCGTTTTGAAGAGACAGCGCCCCGCGTTCACTCCTCCCGCTGCCCCCGTCCTCCTCCCATCACTGCCTCTGCTCTCCCCATGTCCACCATTTTGGCGCACCCCTCACACAGTTCGCGGCCCCACAGGGGCCCCAGTGGCAGCGCCCGCATGCAGTTCCACCCCCATCTTGGCGCACCCCTCGCACGCTTCGTGGCCCCATAGGGAACTCCACCGAAGGCCCCAGTGGCAGCGCCCGCATGCAGTTCCACCCCCATCTTGGCGCAACCCTCACACGCTTCGTGGCCCCGTAAGGAGCTCCACTGCCCCGGTGGCAGCGCCCGCATGTACTTCCATCCTCCTTTCCGGCGCACCCCTCACACGCTTCGTGGCCCCACAGGGAGCTCCACCGAAGGCCCCAGTGGCAGCGCCCGCATGCAGTTCCACCCCCATCTCGGCGCACCCCTCGCACGTTGCGCGGCCCCGTAGGGAACTCCACTGAAGGCCCCAGTGGCAGCGCCCGCATGCAGTTCCACCCCCATATTGGCGCACCCCTCACACGTTTCGCGGCCACCCAGGGCGCTCCGCCGAAGGCCCCAGTGGCAGCGCCCGCATGCAGTTCTACCCCCATCTTGGCGCACCCCTCGCACGTTCCGCGGCCCCGTAGGGAGCTCCACTGAAGGCCCCAGTGGCAGCGCCCGCATGCAGCTCCACCCCCATATTGGCGCACCTCTCGCACGCTTCGTGGCTCCGTACAGTGGAGGCCAGTCCACAAGAAACCTCCCACAAGAAACTCAACCCTGAGACCCCAGGACTTCAATCGATGTTTGGTGTGGGAACGTCACGTTTCCATGGAAAAGCCATCGAAACCCAAGAAACTACTCAAGGCACCCTGGAGACAAGCAGGGTGTTTCTTGGCATGGGTCTCCACTGTAAAGAGCTCCACTGAAGGCCCCGGTGGCAGCGCCTGCATGCAGTTCCATCCTCTTTTCCAGCACGCCCCTCGCACGCTTCGTGGCCCCACAAGGAGCTCCACCGAAGGCCCCAGTGGCAGCGCCCGCATGCAGTTCCACCCCCATCTTGGCGCACCCCTCACACGTTTGGCGGCCCCGTAGGGAGCTCCACCGAAGGCCCCAGTGGCAGCGCCCGGATGCACTTCCACCCTTACCTTGGCGTACCCTTCGCACGCTTCGTGGCCCCATAGGGAGCTCCACTGAAGGCCCCTGTGGCAGCGCCCGCATGCAGTTCCACTCCCATCTTTGCGCACCCCTCAAATGTTTTGTGGCCCCATAGGCAGCTCCACCGAAGGCCCCAGTGGCAGCCACACGTTTCGTTGCCCCATAGGGACACCCTCGCACGTTTCGAGGTCCCGTCGGGGGCTCCACCGAATGCCCCAGTTGCAGCGCCGGCATGCAGCTCCACCCATTGGCGCACCCCTCGCGCGTTTCGTGGCCGCCGTTTGCACCGCCCCGCGCGCCATCCTTGTCGCGGCGCGCAATCTATGAGGAAAAAATCAAACCCTGCACTATTCGCAGCTGCCTGTGGATGGGTCCTTCGCCAGGCTAGCTTTTTCAGCTGCAGCATGTGCGACTCCACCAGCTTGTAAACACTGGGTTACTACCAGAAGCGTGCCTATCCAGGTCGCGACAGCTGTGCTGTGCGAATGGCAGCCTACCTCATGCAGCAGGTCCTCGGCCAAGCGACTGCCAGAGTCACGCCTGCATGACTGAACGCATGGCTGCTTATCTCATGCATATGCCAGGTATCAAACTAACGAATTTCAGCGGCTCGTCCGATATAACACACACGCTGGAATGGCATTCTTAAATCAACGCATGCAATGGTGGAGCTGCTGCTGTATCGGGAGGGATACCAGTGGGACATTTGGCATCTGGCTTCAATCGGCGCACAACCCTCTCGCAACGCAGCTCACGGCCCAGGATGGCGCTGGTGATGGGTAGTGGTGGTGTGTGAGCCTGGAAGCGTTTCTGCGTGTACCAGGTTGCCCAGAAGAAGTCTCCCACCCTTCTGGCGGCCAGCCAACTGTGGCATCCAAGCATGCGCCGACAACCGTCGCGACGGCACAAAGCGATAGATGGTAAAACCGGCAGTTCGTCGAACTGGGGAGGTGCATGCCTCGGGACCATGCTACAGAGCGATATCACGGCGCCAGCGCGCCGATCGCAGCGTTCGCGATCACGGCGGCGTTCTGCCAATAGCTATGTCAGCCTACGCTCGTGCCCTTGCAGGCGTCGGAGAGGGCGACGTGGCGCAAGTTTGTAAGTACATCGAACGAATCGCGATGCACGGTCTAACGATACCTCAAATACAACACGCCCGAATACTGGAGCTCCCGCACGCAGCATACCAAGCGCCCGTGAGCTTACTGCTGAGCTGACTGCTGACTGCTACCCGCGCTTCAAAACCTCAAGGCATGTCCAGCACGGTGCCACGCCACGAGAGCTGCACAGCAGGCACCAGGAAGACGAGAACCCCCGCGGCCTACCAGTGGGTGTTCTTCTCCACGAAGCGTTCGGGGTAATGTGCTTTATACACGTTCCAAGACAACCCGAGAGGGGGAAGGCTCATAAGAAGCTTCATCTGAGTGCCAGACAAGCCAAACAGATAAATCAAGCCATCTATCTCCGATGTGAAGACCATGCCGACGC